CGCCGTCATAGAGTTTCTTACACCTCGAGTAGTCCCCTATACTGGCTGTATTAAAAACAGACATATAACCTGAAAATGCCAAGTTCTTGTTTTCGATATCAAAAACTTTTGAATGATTAAAAAACAATTCACTAACTTTTCAGAAATTGGAGGATTATGTATACCGTACCATGCATCTTTATTGTCGACTGCACACATATCAATTTTCCTCTCGGTCATTATGCGAGCCATTTTTAAATTGACAAACATGCACAAATATTGCCAGGGTTGGAGGTGGGATGAAATAAAATAACCCTTAAAAATCAGTCGTAAACTGTTTTCCAGGAAACTTCGAGGACGTATCAAGTACGGTGCCTAGGTTGAACTGGCCAGAGCTTGCACCTTTTATACACGTAGTGAAAGATACTTTCCTTTCTGCGATAACACCGGTAACTACACTCAGGGGGCGCTGTTCATAACCCAGATGTAAATCTTACGTGTGTAAAATTCAGATTTCCGTTTTATTTTATTTCTTTTTTTGTAAAATTTTATTATTCGGTGCTGTGGGTTATAATCCAACAAATTAAAAATAAATAAATAAATAAAAGTACTGGCCTATTTCAACTTTTATCCTGCAAAATGGTTACCCACTCCATCGAATTTCAACTGCGCAATGACTGGTTTCCGCCGCAATGAATTCAAAATACGAGTGAATACAGGAACGGGAACCAATGTCACTGCATTACAATGAAATCTACACGTGGGGTGGCGCGTATTCATAAATTCGCGGGCAACGCCATCTCGACATTCAAAGTAAGTCTCCTGGTTTTGAGTGGAATGATGGAGCAGTTTTGAACCTTGTAGGTGGAAGTAGCATAGTATGACTGTTGTAAAGAGTAAACTGAAATAATTATGGTTCGAAACACCAATTTTGTTTTGCACAAAATTAAATTTCGACTGTGATTCGTTCACTTCGTACCATAGGCAAGGTTTGGTAGGGGTTAGCCCAGGTTGGACGATGTCTACATTACATTTCGACTTACGTCCAGGGTATGAAAGTCCTTAAACTATGCGAAATTTTTTTCAACACATTTTTTCTCACATTTTTACCAGACAAAGACAGCTCAAAATGTCGTTCACAAGTGCCTTGTATCCTGAATTCCATAAATGCTGCGTTGAAATTATACATACATTAAATACATATATATTAAATACATCCGTGAACAACGTATTTTGGAGGAAATTCTGCGAAACTCCACACTTTCCGTCGCGATTCGCGACCTACATACATGTACTTGACATAATGTACAGTAGGCCTACACGTTTATCTAGCCATACAGCTACGTGGTCTAGCACGGGTAGGCCTACTCTCGCGCATGCGAGAAATGCATGATAATGGGTGCCCGTTACGCATGCGCGGAGTAGCTGCGGGTATGATGAGTCGCAGATGAGGCCGTGTCCGAACGGGCTTGCGAAGGTACGCCTAGGTCTATTGCCTACGCGTCTCCACGTATTTGTAATGGAGCGAAGACCTAGACCTCTAGACAACATGCATAACTGACAGAATGTGGGCTGAGCTTGGAGCCCATTTCGCGCACGCGCAAATGCATACTACCGCACGCACGAACATAGGTCGTTAATTTACGAATCGCGACGGAAAGCGTGGAGTTTCGCAGAATTTTCTCCAAAATACGTTGTTCGCAGGCGTATTTAGTAATTTCAACACAGCATTTATGGAAGTCAGGATACAAGGCACTTGTTAACGACATTTTTAGCTGTCTTCGTCGGGTAAAAATGTGAGAAAAAGTGTTGAAAAAAATTTCGCACAGTGTCTGAACTTTCATACCCTCTGGACGTCATTCGCAATGCAATGTAGACGTCGTCCAACCTGGGCTAGGTTGGGGTGAGATTTCCATGTATGGATATCACTAATTGGCCCTTGCAGCAGATTATTAGCCACTTAAAAAGTGATATCATCAACATGTCTTTTAAAAGTCACATAGAGCTGTTCTGAAACACAAGCTATTTGTGCATTACTAGCTTCACTAGTCACTGTGCATCAATCTAGCATTACTATATACCAAGCTCGTAAGCAGTATATTTAGATCATTTCCTCATAGCCATTAAAACAATGCATGCGAACCTTGACTAACCCCCATCCCAGCCATGCAGTAATAAATAACGACCACCTTTAACCACTAACCATTAACCTCAACCCTTAACTGGGTTCTTTTCATAACCACACATAATCAACAGCCTGCATGGTTCTACCACAAACCTTTATAACCTCCATTAACAAATAACCTGTAGCCATAAACCATAACTTGACCAATTACCACTTTCCTGATTAGAGTGAGGAATGTGATCTGTTTAAATGCTGAAAAGACTGAAAATTTTCTTTCTGCTTATGTGCTTCATTGCACATGATGTGCTCTTTTGTCTTAAAAGAATCAATGTGGCATTTCCTGAGCTCGTTTGAAATTTAAAAAATTGCAAAGGTTATTTAAAAAATCCCTGAAAATGCCTCCAACTTTGGCAAGTTCCATGGTCAGGGTTCTTTGAAGTCCAACTTTGGCCCCCAATATAATGAGAACTGTGCAGGCTCCTTGGACAGTCTTCAGCAAAGAGGGGAAATCAACATTGACCTCTGCAGCAGCGGACTCTGAATCTTGACTTTGAGAATTTAAAAAAGGAGGACTTCATGGACATGATAGAAGCTGCAGTGTTGGAAAAGAGACTAGATCTCTTGGAGAAAATGAAAGGACAGTTGTGAGGAAGAGACCTCAAGAATTCTTAGTGGTGTATGGGAGAAAAAAATGACTGAATGTCTGGAATCGATCCTGTAGAAGCTACTTTCTCTCAGCCTCAAGGAATATCCAGGTGAGTATTACTGATTTTACAAATAATGTTCATTTCATAGCACTTCACCCTCGGATTCTGTGTTTTAAGTGGCCTGTAGAGCGAGTCACATATGACATTCGCCATTGCCGTCTTGCCTTACAGTCCAAAAGAACCATACTTGATAGAAATGCTTATGCCTGCAGCAACCAAAGAACTAAACCATGACCAAGAGTGTGCAACTTTTGCACACTCTTCAGAGCTACTTGTAAGCTAACTCATTTCATGAAGGGGAAGTTTGGACTAGTGCTGGTAAATTTTCAATTAATTTCTCTTTTAAATTTAGTCACCGCTTAAATTCGATCAGAATCTGTGGTGGAGGTGTTTTAGAACAATTATTGACTGGTTTGTCATGTGGCGCAGTGATAATTATCCTCTTAAAGGTGATCTGGTGTCATTTCCCAAGGTGAAGTGGTCAATATTTGTATCGTATTTCATGCACGAAATGAAATTTAAAAACATCCAAAGACGTGGTTTTTTATCAGACTGTTTTGCAACCTAGTTTCTATTCACACAGTGTGTGTATGTAAGAAAGAACAGCCTTTCAGTTCAATTTTTGGTGCTAAATATTTTAACCCCCCAAAGATGTTACTAGAACCTGATAAAAATTGATAGAAAAAGATTTCTACAATTCTGTACCTAGATATCTAGCTGTACGGTGTTGTTCCTTGTTGACACGGACATGTGTTTCAGCACTCAAAATGTGACCTATGCTTGCAGTATCAAACAATGTGGTCCTACTATTGAGATAGTGTTTTACACATACTTTCCCTGATTTCCAAAGTGAATAAGTTTATTACTTTTCAGTTAATGTCACATAAAGTAAAAAAATATTTGTTTTTTTTCTATAGAAACCACAATCTTCTGTGGCGAGTGAGCTGAAAAAGTTGAGATGACGAAGAAGACAGTTTGGTAAGGTAGGTTATCAAAAACCTTGGTTTTTAAATACATTCTGGATTTTCTAAGTGGGTAAGTTTCTTCCTCATCTATGTCTGATGAAGTAAAAGGATTCTTTCCATTTCTATAGGAACCACAGTCTACTATGACAATTGAGCTGAAACAGTGAAGAAAAGACAGTTCGGTACAAGGTAAGTTATTACCCAAAACATTTTTTCAAACCAATTCAACCATCATGCACAATACAAATGTCTCATTTGTAAAATTATTTTTGCTTGATTTTGTTTCAGAAGGTGTGACCATCCAAGTAGAGGCCGGGGGACAAGATTGCATGTTCACTAAGGTAAGGTAACCATTTCTTACAGGCGTGAACATGCCCAAGACCCCCCCCCCCCGGATCGCAGGATTCATCCAATTTGGACAAGGGGATTGTTGGTTGAAACAGTACAACAGGACATGGGTTATCCCAAGTAGAGGCCGGGGAAATCACGACTTGCATGTTCATAAGGTGAAGTAACCATTTCTTACAGGTGTGAACATGCACAAGAACCCCGGATCATAGTAACTAGGCCTGGTAAAGTAACCCTCCATTTTTATATCCAAGCAAACTTGAAATGTTTTTGTTCAGGTTTGCTTCTGGACCATCCAGGGAAATTTTCTTGAAAGCATTTTTTGAGTAATATCGGGAATTTGGTTGCTACCCTGACACCTTTGCTCAAGAGGAAAAAAATTGGAGAAAAATGGTTGACTACATGTAATTGGTTCATGAAAATCGATTTTGAAAACACTGTGTGGAATTTTGAAATTGGTTTTTCTGATGTTGTCCAAGGTTCCTTGTTAGCAGTGAAATGCATTAATTCAAGTCAGTTCAGTGTTTTCCCAGAGTGGTTCAGCTGCATGCTGTGATTGTGTGGTGGTGGGCTATGTGTTGTGGTTGTGCAGGGTGGTGGTCTCTCATAGGTCATCGGCTCAAATTGGGCATTTCCTGCACTGAGTGTCATTCTATAAGGACTATGGGATCATCTATATCCAGATGTCCTCAAGATGGGTGATGGGATCTTCTATATCCCTACATCCCCCAAGCAAGACCAGCAAGGATGATGGGATCTGCTATATCCCTATGTCCATCTGGGGGCGGATCTTTGGTGGCAATGAAAGGGGGCCAACTATAACTCAGCTCCTTGGGGAGCTTGCATTTTAAAATTATCTGAAGCCATAGTTTTCTCTTTGAGGGAATGTATACGACGATTGTCATGGCAACAGCATCAAATATCTTATTGGGGCCTATGAAAATAAATTAACTCAAATTAATGGTCCACTCAGGAAAAATTGTGTAGAGCAAGATTAGGGAACTTGCCCCTGGATCCGTCCCAGCTGCAAGACTCCACCAGCTAAAGATCATCTTTAGGGCATAGGTAACTTCCTTCAAGGACATTTTCTTTGTAGTGAAGCTGAAACTTTCACTATAGGTTTTTTTCCTTCAGGCTCAGTTGGATCTGTTATATCCCTCTGAGATGTGCAGAGACTATGGGATCTCCTATATCCCTGTGTCGTTAGGGCTTAGGTGGGTGCGGAGATCGATTTGAAATTGGAACTCACTCCAGTTGGAGTCCTGGGGTTTTCAATGCGAGATGTGCGGAAGGGGCTAGGCAGTTCGTGAGTCTAGCCCTACCAACGTTTCTGCTCGCCGGAAAAGATGCAGGTAGTTGTGTTCCTCGTGTCGAGGGCTTCGGACCTCTTCCATAGGAGCATGGCCCCGTTATCATTGATGGTTAGCAAGACGCTGGTACGTCCTCTCACCGTCCCAGGGGTGAGGGGGCACGCGTGAGTAGGCAAGGGCACTCTCCTTCAGGAGGGCAGACCCCACAGTGGCAGATGGTGCCCCTGCGGCCGCAGGGTAACACCAGTCTGTCCAGCGATGGGCCCGCTAATTGCCGAAAGCGTGCGGTATCCTGGGACCTGGGTTTTTACTAACCTTACCAAGATAATCACCTTACTGGGCGTCAAAGGTGAGCATACAACTGTACTCAACAAAGTACTTTCATAAACAACTTTGTTTATTCTTTCATTTATCTTTTCTGCCAGTGATGTTTTTCTTTCATTTTCAAGAGCATACAAAGAATAGCCTTTTGACCTCCATACCTGCCCCCCGAGGAGTGAAAATTCTTTACTATTGCCTTGTTGCATCAGACTGCTAACAGAAAAAAAACGAAACTTATTCAAAAGTTCAAAAATTTCAGTCGACAGAAAAAAGCCCTGAAGATATTGATTGATTTTCAAAATGTAGTGCCTACACTTTCAAAAATCTTACGTGGAACCATAGTCGAGTTGACACAAGAACATGTGCTAAATTGAAATGCTTTTCACTTGAATAGTTTCTTTTTGCTTTTTCATTCTGACAGGTCATAAAGGTTTTTAACTAACAAAGATGGAAGAAGACTGTTGACTTTGAGTTATCCCTTGTTTGGTAAAGCCCCCCAGAGGCCAGATAAATTTTACTGACTGATGAGGTCTGTGATTACCATGGTAACACCAAGGCATCTGGTAGTGCAGAACATACAGTGTGTGAGATGCAACCAGACGGGGCACATCCCAACGGACCAAGAGGTACGCAGCCCAGTTTGTTGTCAAAGCTGGCAAAAAATACAAATCAAGGCAGTGGCTTTGATTTGTGTGTCAATCCGTGTCCAAGTTTACTTGGCTATGGGCTGAAATTATGCACCACTCTATGGAAGTGGCTACAGCCAATTCCCATAGAGTTGTGTGTACTTCAAGCCGCAGCCAAGTGATTCAGACACCTTATCTGAAACTAAAACACACAAGGCTTTCAATTCACCTTTCATTTACCACGTTTTTGTAACACATTTTAAGCTCTTTTACTATTGGATTATTTTTTTTCTAATTAGGATTTAATTGGTGGTGATGATTCTGATGACAGCCGTTGGCCTGAGCCCGGAAGCCTTCTTGAATTTGTTGACCAAGAAACAAAAGAAGAAACTCCTCAAGTGAGCAACTTTGGAGAGCTGTCTCTTCATTCGCATGACTCGCTACCCAGGACAGACTGATGTGTGAAATGGTTACACATGAGCAATACAGGTGCCACACCTGTGCTTGTTCACAGGCTGTGTCAGTGCTGTTTTCTGGGTAGTGATAATTGAATCAGTTTGCAAAGCAAAAATAAAAAATCTGTGATTGCTTTTGACTGGATTTGAAAATAAATTCTGTTATGTAAAATATGGCACCTAGCCGTCGATGAGAAAATTCCTCCGTGGAAAGTGACCCTGTTTTTAGTGCTGTATTGACTAGGAAGCTGAATGGCATGGAGAAGAAATATTCTGGGTTCGTGTGTAAGAAGAAGAACGCAAGAGGCGACGGCGCAGCAACAGCAGCTCATTGGAGAATGAACCGGAGAAGCACCACAGGGAGAAGAAAAAGCTCAAGAGGCCAAGGGAGAGCAAGAACGATACCACCAGCAGCGGCAAGGAGAGCTCAGGTGATGGGCATCATCGGGGGAAGAAGTCCAGATGGAGATGCCAGAGTGGCAGGGGAGACAGAGGTGAACGTAGAGGAAACAGGAGGGATTCAAGCAGTGAAGATGAGAGAGGACGCGAGATGTGCGATGACTACAAGCTGCCTCACAGCGATAGGCACAGAGGACTTGGTCGCAGCATCAAGAAAGAAAGGGGACATCTCAAGATCTGGGAGAAGCTAAAACCGTCATGGGCAGCAGTAATACGATAGTTCTAACAATGACAGACGCACTGGATTCAAATCCGCTAGACAGGATCGTAATAGGGATTCCTATGATCGTCATTTGTCAAAACACGTCCATGACAAACAATTGCATAAGAGCTCTTCGGAAGATCATGACTCCAAAGACAGGGACACATCGCAAATCAAAAACGAGAAAGACAGAAGGAATGACAGAGGGGATGACAGAAGAGACAGTAGTCATAGTGAAAGACACTCTAAGGACTCCTCTGTCAGGAAGGACAGTGGCAGCAAAAAGGACAGGAAATAACAGAAGCAGTTGCAGGAGTGAAAGAGACATGTTGCCCCTTCCCCCCAAAAATGTACAGTGTCTAAAATATTCAGGGGCAAATGAATAAGATGTGGGATAACACTTCTGTTTGCAATGCTGTGTGATGGTAGAAGTGGTGTTGGATGAAGAAATTGTTTGGTGGGAAGCGTCTGTGCATTATGCCCCTCTAGTCCCCCTTTTCTTACACAATCAATTCAAAATCTCTTGGAAAAAGTCCATTTTTCACGAAATTTTAGTTAAACAGCAAGTATTTCAAGTTAGTTTTAAATTTTTTGGTGAAAATTTTAACTAAAAGTGAAGTGTGAGAAAGCACGAATTTTATCGACGTATATTTCTGAGCTCTTTTAGAAGTCCACTTTTGTCAAATTTTAATTTAATTGCAAGGCTAACAAAAATCCCATGAGGTTGTCGTCAGTTTTTGGTGAAATATTGAAATGGTCATAAGTTCATCAAATTGTCATGAAGCAATATAAGAGTAAGGGAGGTCCCAAATGACGAAACTAAGGATACACTGTTTTTGTAATTATCCATTTGAAGATTTTTCTCATATATATTTGCTTTGATTTTGCCGATTATCGCCGTTTACAAAAATGTGCACATTTTACTCACTTATACTACTAGTTGATCGCTGTATGGCGGTCACACTTAACAAACGAACTCTAACTTATTTTAATTTTGTATGTGTAGTTTGTGATGGTATGAAATTTTAAAGCGATAAAATAAATTATATGAGGTTTTATATTAAAATGAAGTTGTTATTTTTCCAATTTTGCTGTCCAGAATTCCTGCAGTTGTAGATTCCAGCCCTAATCACTAAGTTGAATTGTTTACTAGGCATGTATTCTATGTGTTATACGTGTCCATCTTGGACCACGTGGGCTGCACGACCAGAGCCTGTTTTGTTTTTACAGGCCGGGTTCCGGACCCCAGACAGTAAATCGGCAGAGTGCTGGCATTCAGTGCATTTTCCTTGGCAGTGTAAATCCTCACCCTTTTGCTCTCCTCCGCCCCCCCCCAACCTGTGTGTCCCTTTTTTCAGCGCCCTGGATGGAGGCATCTACCCGCCAGGCACAAATCCATCCCCTTATAGAATCCCGACGGCTACCCTCACACAAGGTTAACCCCTTGTAATTGCAATTTTAGGTGAAAATTTGAAAATGGTTGTAAATACATCAAAGTGTCAGAAAACCTGGAATTCATGTCCATTGCAAGTACATTTCTGAGGTCTTTTAGAAACGGCCCATTTTTAACAAATTTGGTTTAGTAGTTTTATCAATTTGGTGAAAATTGGAATATGGTCTAAATTGCAAATTTACTCGGAAGTGTCAGAAAATTTGAACTTAATCATGGAATAAATTTCTCAGGTCTTTTAGAAAAAATTCAAGTTTCGACGAAATTTCAAATTAAAAGGCAAGGCCAACCTTGTTTAGTTTTTTTAATTGTGGGTGAAAATTTTAAATTGGTCTGACTTGCATACGAAATTATCTGGAATTATCAGAAGAGTTGAAATCATCTTGAAATAAATTTCTGAGCCTTTTTTAAAAAGTCCTGTTTTGACAAAATTTAAATTAAAATGCAAGGCTTACCCTTTGTAATCGAATAAAAGAAAAAAAAATACTCTCTGAAAACACGCGAGGGCGCCTTTTGACCCGTCCGTATTATGGCAGCAAAAATTTAACTTTTCTCCAAATAACTCATAAAAACTCTTTGAACAAAAAGAAGTTCATTTCGATCATCTCTGATGCATCAAGATATCAATTTGAATGAAATTTCAGGAGGTAAAGTTTTGGAAAAACTGCTAGGGGTTAGCCTTGCAAAATTATTACATTTGGGCCAAAATTTGACTTCTCTCGAAATGACTCAGAAAAAATCTTTGAACAAAAAAGGACATTTCTATCATTTATGATGCATGAAAATCTAAATTTGAATGAAATTTCAAGAGTCAAAATTTTGGAAAAAAATTGCAAGGGGTTAGCCTTGCAAAATGATTAAATTTGGGCCAAAATTTGACTTTTCTCTTAATGACTCAGAAATAATCTCTGAACAAATAAAACATCATTTCGATCATTTATGATACATGTAGATCATAATTTGAATGAAATTTCAAGAGTCAAAATTTTGGATAAAATTGCAAGGGGTTAGCCTTGCAAAATGATTAAATTTGGGCCAAAATTTGACTTTTCTCCTAATGACTTAGAAATAACCTTTGAACAAAAAGAAAATTATTTCGATCATCTATGATACATAAAGATCATAATCTGAATGAAATTTCATGAGTCAAAATTTTGGATAAAATTGCAAGGGGTTAGCATTGCAAAATGATTAATATTAGCCAAAATTTGACTTTTCTCTTAATGACTCAGATATAGTCTTTGAACAAAAAGAAGTTCATTTCGATCATCTATGATGCATGAAGATCTCAATCTGAATGAAATTTCAAGTCAAAATTTTATGAAGAACCCCAAGGGGTTAGCCTTGCAAAATAATTAAATTTTGAATAATTGCAATTTTCAAATCACTCATAAATAATTTCCGAGCAAAACTAGTACATTTTGATTATCTTTGATAAATGCAGATCTTGAACACAATGAAAAATATTCACGGTCAAAGTTTGTTTCCTCTCTGCAAAGAATTTAAAACCAACAAACACAAAAAACACAGGGCAAACAAAAAAGGAGTTAGATTTAAGATCTGATGTACAAAATACTTTATTGTCAACTTGCCCTTCTTTCTCCAGGTGGAGAATCTTCATAAAATGACAAATAAATATAACAGAACTTAGAAAAGGACATTATAAAGGTAACAACCAAACTTGGAAAGAAATTGTTGATAATTACACTCTGCAATTTGCCAGATACTTTGACATTTGAAATATGATTCATAAGACCAATTCTCAAATTCAAATAAACATCACCTTGAATAAGAAATGAATTATGTCAACAGCAATGAAACACAAAGGCAGTTTTGCCAGTACTGTAGGAAAACTATTCACTGAGATGGCATTAGTTCTATAATGACAAGGAGAAAAAAATAATTTAAAACCTTACAAATTTAAACTTCATCAAATGGGACTCAACGATTACCTAGATGCATATTGAGCATTTTCAAAGGTACCGTACACTAATTCATGATGCCATCACTTCCAAGTATATGGACATTCTGGGAAAAAAATCCGAGCAACTTTTATTTGCAACAATTACAACCTTGTGAACATATCCTGGTAAACTGATTATCTTGCACTGATAACAGAAATTATTTCATTACTGAAAATGGGTCACTTGGCAGACATTCCCATAGGAACGTGCACAAAATTTTTAAAACTTTACCGTCCCATAATTCAATATTCCCTAATCCGATCTTAACCAAACTTTCCATGTTTTCCCTGCAGAGCCTAATCTGTCATCTCTTAAAATGTGGACATTAAAAATTTTCCTCCTTTCGGTAGTGGAGCATTAGGGAGACATGTCTCCCTAATGACCGATGTCTCCCTAATGTTGAAAAATTTACCACAAAATGTCTCCCAAGTGACCTGTTTGGAAATATCTACTTTAGTACATCAAAGTGAGATCATGAACATATTAGCTGCACTGACAATAACTATGACTCTCGTCTCATGGAGGAAACACATTATAAGATTGTGCCACATAAGATTTAGGTATCAAAATACAGAAGGTATTCCACATTATTTTACAATGTATCGAGCTCTTTGAACAAGGCTGAAAACAAGAAAAATGTTGAAACTCTGAGCCATGGAAGATAATACAATGGCCAAGCCATGCAACTGATGACTGAGACTCACTGTTTATACTGAATTCTGGTAAATTAGAATTATCCTTGGGAAGAAAAAGAACCAAAAACCAACTCCAACCCAGACACTTGCTCTCATAATTTCGACTCGCTGAATTTTTCGAAATTCAATTACTGTAAAACCTCTTTGCAACCATTCATACCGTACCTCTTGTTCACACACAACTTTACATATTATTTACATTGTACATACCGGTAGTTCTCGTTCTAAAAACTGTAACATCGCCAAGCTAGGAAATGTTGTTTGCAGAACAAATATTGTTCACCCTCGAAGGCGAGCAAAACAAAAACGGAAGCCTTCCTACTCACTTGTCTTTGTCTTATTTATCCACCTGTCTCTGCTGGTTTGTGGATTCCAGAAATTAGTTTTTGGGCTTTGTGATATGATGGCATGTGTTTATTAGGGAAATTCAGTGTAGAGCCGACTTTGATGTCTTATAGCTATCCTTCACAGTCCCAAATCGATATGATTTTCCATACACCCTGGAGGTTAGGGGTTTATAGTAACGATGAACTAGTTTTTCATAATGAACATAACTGTGACAGAGATTGGATTTCATCAGGTATCAGTCCCCCCCCCACCCTTTTTCGCCTACTATATTTCGGTTAGCGAAAGAGTCTAACTAACTTTCCTATCTACTTCTAAACAACTTGAGTTTGGTCTTTCATCATGCGTGCAAAAGTATCTTTTTAAGAAATACAGTCGTGATGAAAATTTGACTCCTCTGTTTTTTTGCATCACAATTTATGCTTTGATTCTTAATTACAAATTGAGAATACCTTAAAATTAATGGAAAGTTGTTCATTTCTCAAAATCTTTCAACACAAACTTAATCACTGTTTTTATTAATTTTTTAAAATTTGATCACTATACACATATTGCCTGCCTAAACAACTCAGAACTTAATAAAAATTATAATTAACTAATAACACTTGGCTTATTTGACTTTTTTACTTAAATACTCTTGGAACAGCCATTGTCACTCTTTTATTTTTATTCATAAGTTATGCAAATTTATGTCAGTTACCCTTTGACCTGCATTATATACATACAAAGCAGATTAAGTTGTCAGTCCTTTTTTTCCTTCCTTTTTTCAGTCAACTGTTACATCACTGTGTTGCCATGCCATGCAAAGGCAAAGACGGTTCCACATTAAGTAGAGCTGAAGGGTTGTGGTTTTGAGGTCAGGCTGTATCCTTGATGGTCTGGTGTGCAGGCTGCTATGGGCAACCTGAGCATAGTCACTGCTCACAGCCTGGGCACCACACTACTCTAAGGAGGTGCCAGGCTATACAACAACCATCTGGGGCACATGCAAGTTTTTTTCGATGCATAGTTAAGAAACTGTACAGGCTAGAATGGATGTGGGTTAATTGGTGCAAGATCTAATATGCTGTTTCTGGCATACCATTTTACGTGTTTTATGGGTTAAGCTCTGGAGCACTCAGCTCAGTGCCTAACAGGCCCTGGCAAGGGACCGTGCTATCACAGCGGAACAACTGTCAATCTGAATTTGTCACAGACAAAATCTGAACATGGATTAAAAAATGACAATGGGAAAATTCTTAAAACTAGCTGGTATCCTACTGAGTGAAACAAGTAACAAACCTAAGAAATACAGTTTTTAAAAAATGAATGAACTTTTGATCCACAGTGGTTGCCTACAAACATCACTGATTTATCTTGCCTGCCGATTTCCCAGTCATATCAAGAGAGGGCGCTTTGATGAGTGCTCAAGTGACTCTGGAAACAAGGAATGTGGCACTTTGCATCCCACAATGCCTCAGTGCAGCGTGACAGAGAATAGACAAGAAAAGAAACACAATCATACCGTCTTCTAGTCTATGCCACTGAAGACCAGACTCTTGCTTTTCTCAGTCTTTTCTTTTTAACCCAGTACCACCCATGAAAAAAAAAGAAACTTCTAGAAAAAAACCCAGATGGAATCAATGTTCTTACTGTACACAGTACAATACATAAATAAGGCGAGTTTTGTTATACACCAACAAGCAATTTTATAAATAGTGTTTCAATCACTCTGATTACATCTGTACACAGTTTCCTTATACATGAAACCCCTCGCAGCAACTCCACACCTTTCAGTGTGAATTTCTGAGAGTAAATCCAATCTCGCTTCGTTCACCAGTCCAGCTTGCACTGCATTAAGGTCCAACTCTTTTCATGGATTGTTATGATTTGACGATTGGGTTGTGAAAAAGTTCTGCCCTGCCTGATGTCGGCCACACTAGCAAGTGGCACTGCTCTGAATTATTACTCCAACATATTTTGAGCAATTTGTCAAGTTTTGCATAAATACCTTGTACAGTACTAACAATGAACATTGAGGCTAGGCAGAAAGCTTCCTTTCCATTCATCGTATTCATGTAGAAAACCAAACCAAGAAAGATGCGGTTCAAATTCATATATGGGAAGGGAATTTTCAGTGATCTTTGAATCGTACAGATGGATGAACGCAGACACAAATTTTGAAAACCCTCTTGCCCCCGTAAGGGTCTTGAATACCAAGAATTAAAGAAAAAAAGACAGTCTGTTGCCATGGTTTCAAGGATTACAGAGAGGGACATATTGACAGCGATTTATCTTTATATTTCCATCCCCCAAACATTCATAATCTTATTTCTGTCAAAAGAGCAACTAAGAAATTCTTACAACAGTGCAGATCAGTGCAAAGCTGCCTCTTCTGGTGCAAAAATACACCAAAACTTTTGGAATAGAAGGAAGTACTTTCAGTCATTGTCGTATTTCTTCTTCCTATTATCATTCGTAAAGACGTCTTCAAAACTATTCTCAGTTTTTTTAAAATTTGTTTCTTATTTTATTTTATGTTGGAGGCCTCAAACCCTTTTTAGCTGCTGAAACACCGAAAATGTAATGCCCAAATTCGCTTCAGCCAAGAGTGACAAGATAACAAAATTTCCTCACAAACGTTTATCAGGATCGCTGACATATTTGACAATGCCCGAACCAGATACATTAATGGTTGTTAAATTGGTTCATCTTTGAGATGTTTATGTATCAACAGCGCTCTAAAATTGCAACATGATTTTCCTTTTGTTCATGGGGGAACATTTTTATGAGAAGGCTGGCCAAGATTCCCACAAGAAATCTTGAATAACTGCCCCTTCAAAACATCTTTGTAGGATTCTCAGTCCACAAATGTGCCATCAGTACATTACCACTCACAATGAGGCCCCCAGCCATGTATTAAAAAAAATAGGCTGGTGCCTGCACAGGAGCTATCCACTTCTAGGGGCATTTTTGTTGTATGCCTCAAGACACCAGACAAAGATGGCTGCAGTGTGAAGACTAAATCCTTGTTTGCCTCAATGAAAAGGAAGGGAAAAGTGCCCACTCTAGGGTACAGAATTTGTCTCGTAGAGCAAACAATGGTATCTTGAGTTCTGGATGCAGATATTTCACTTACAATCTCGGGTCTGACTTCCGAGTCTTTGGGAATAAGAAGACACGAGGAAAAAGCCAAGAGTCCTGACCTCTTTGTAGCTATCAGAGCATTTCCTCAAACTGTGACATAATGTCGCTTTGTTGATTCATGTCAATGACACCGGCCATCTGAAAGCAGCAAAATATAATACATACAAAATGAACATCAGCATTAACCTGAATTTCTCCGACAGATCTACCTGTCGTAGCCTGTGTATACTCTCCAAGTCTGAAGCCAAGTTGCCTTCAGAATCCTATTTTGAATTTCGATGCGTTGCATTTTTTTAAAACTATCACATAAAAGGATGTGTGCAATAGAGACTTGGCACAGGTCTTAAGGCTAGCTCCTACTCAGCGTGGAAGCAAACATGAATGCATATTCATGATGTCAGATCAAACTCCATGCTGCAACTTTAGAACAGTCGAGCATATGTCAATTTGAGCATATTCCGCCACTGGGTTTTGGAACTTTTAAAATGTGGCAGAGATGAGAGGGAAAGAAATGATTCACCATATCCTGAAAATAACGTTACCACCAACTTCAGATTCCAATCCAGAAAATGAGGCTGATTGTGCCCTCCACACCCCCAACTCCCCCAACAAGAAAATCAAACTTTTATGCCTCTGCAGAAGTAGTCTCTACCCAAGACGTAGATGATTAAAAGTGAAGGCTGCATTTGTTTGCGAAATTGGGTACTTGCTCTTTCTCCAACCATGCCCACACTAACGTCTCGGGGGAGGGTGTAACCCCTCTATGTAAATTAGACGGTTGGTGTAATACTATTATCTTCAAACAAATGCCGGCTTCCCATTTGACACTGGTAGTCCTGCTGGGCCAATCACTGCAATGCATGTTTAATTAGCATGCGTGACCGCCACACTTCACAAGCGAATTCTACTCGACATGCACATGTTTACAAGACAGATGACTGAAAATGAACCATTTTGGGATTGGTAATTGGTACCCTAGAAAAAGCCTGGCTAGAAAAAAAACTGAACCTCTCTTAGTGCAAGCAAGCTCGCTCATCTAATTATGGAGTCATTATAGGGGCCTCTATGTATGGTATGTTATCAAGAATTAGCATCCTGAGGCCAAGACCACTGCGGAAGCCAAACAGGGTAAAATCTGACTGACCGCTTCTCGTTTCCGCCTCTCCTGCTCCCGTAATCTCTCCCTCTCTTTCTGGGACTGCTGCTTGTTTTGGTCCTCCTTCTGCGCCAGTCGCGCCCTCTCCAATGCTTCATCTTCCTCCTTCTCCCTGCAGAAGAAAAACAAGCATCACAACTTCCATCAGGCTCCAACAACAACAAAGTGCAAACACTTTCTTAAAATTGGCAAACTAATTTTTTATTTTAGCCATGCAAGCGAACTTCACTTGAAAATTTTTTTTAGATTTTCCTCTAAAATCAGGCGTGAATAGAAATTAGCCATAGTCTATCGAGATTGGTGTTTTTGATTTAACAGTTTTTATCAATTCTAATATTTTTTATGTTCATATTTAAATGTAAATATCTAAATATAAATGTTTACTATGTTCACGAGGACAAATGTCGTAATGGAGGGTCTATGTCCCCTAAAACAAAAAAACATCGTAGAGACAAATTCCGCTTTCAGAATCTACAATGAAACCTGTTCAACCCTGTCTTAAACAATTTTGCACATAAACGTCATGGATCAGAAACTTCCAGAAAGTGAGAGTTTTGGTAAAACCAGAAATCGTTCAGGCCTAGTGGGCTTAGCCAAGCGGTTAGACTTGCCTCAGTCTCTCCCGCTCCTGTCGCTGTCTTTCTTTCTCTGCCTGCTCCCGTTGGCTCTTCCTCATCTCCTCTTGAATCTTCTTGGCCCTTTCCTGAATGTGCGGGGGGGGGGGACGGTGCAGCAAAAACAACACAAATTGACGAATACGTTTAAAATGCTCTCGATTTCTGTACCCTGTTCTTGCATTCTTTGATTACTATGCTTTTTATTACAAAGTCTAAATTACTCTTGCCAATTTTCAAAGCGTACTATGAATATCTTACTGCAAGCTTTGAAGTACGAATAAAAAAGGCTTTTGATGAATGACAGACACATTACAACAATGGATGGAAAGTGCACATTATCTCTAATCCTAGAACTGTGACCGATGTAAATCGTGAGGAGTAGAGTTGCAAGGATGTGGATCAAGAATTGAGGACAGCCTGGGGCTGAGGAGAGACGGACTCACTCGTTCTTTTTTCTCTTGGGCCGCCTTCCGGAACATTTCAAAGCTGGAGCTGGTGGAGCGGTTGACCACCGGCGTAGCCTGCTTGGGCTTGGCCGTGTTGAGCGCCGTGGCCAGGTTGGACCAGGAACCCACGTTCTGGATCTTGACGTCTTGAGAAGGGAGCTGCAAAGACAGATTTTCAAAAAATCGAAATAAAACAAAATCCGGTTTGTGCAAAGATGCAATACTGAATGCGATCCTTAAGGCCGAAGAAATCTGTTCAGCAAATGTGAATGAGAGCCAACTTCTTTGGTTTAACCCCTTCGCTACAGATGACTGCTACTACAGCACCTTAATGTGAGGATTAGTGCATACCACACATACAGTCTATTCACCATGCAGCTGCTGGTTCAAAGGGGCCCTGCTGATGGACAAAGCCCTCCATTCAGGGCATACCACAGCCCAGCAGTCGCAGTCAAAATAATCCCATTGTGAAGGGATTGATCAAGTGACGATCTTCCTGAGGTTGACACTTGACACGTATATGTACCTGAATCAGAACTGAATCTGCTTGCCCTGAAGGTACTCAGTTACCGAAAGCTCGGCAATCGCATATTACAGAGCACTGATTTAATATTATATTCTTGTCAATATTCTGATCACGGTGCTACGCAGCCCTTCCATATTTTTCTCATGTATATATACCTGTTTATTTGTGACAACTAGCATGGAGTATACACCTGCAAATGTGAACATCTGTAGCATATTCGTGCCATTTGATTGGTGACAAGGTCTAATTGTCATATTAAAGTAAAGGGGTACTTGTCAACTAAGCATCTCTTATTGCAGAATAAACTAGGAAAAATTGCGACTTGAAGAGAAAGACATGACACAGGCCACTTTCCATTGCAAATGATGTTCCAGGGTTTGCTGAGCGGACAGTCTACAATATTGAATCAGGTGTGGTAACAAAAAAAAAATAAGGAATGCCGTTTCTGTACCTTCTTCAGCGGTCCTGGAGCTGTTCTCTCTAACTTTTTGAGGTTTTCCGAGCTCTTCGTTGAGGGCATACTGCTGGGTTTGGTTGGAGGGGCTGAAAGTGTCAAAACATACAACCAATAAGTGTATGAAATACATGTAATTCTTGACAATGAACAGGGCGAAAAGTCTCCAAACTGCCAAACTACTGTGCCTTCAGGACTAGAAAAGCATGGAAAGTCAACTCTTAGTAAGTTTTATACACATGCCATTTGTGCACATTCCTTGGTTAACTTTACTTCTCAATGTACCTTTGGAAACACCCGTAGAAAATCACTTTAGGGAATTTATGTACTGAGTCAAGTGGGTACCAGTCACAAGCGTTAGAAAACAATGCACTATACTTTGGTTGGTAACCTGGTTTTCGCTAATCAAATTTTCCTCATGCTTAGCAGATGTGTGCAATGGGAGTTCTGACAGGCTTTCATACCCACCTTGTTTAACGGGTTCCTTAGGGGTAGTGCTCTGAGTTGGAGGCAGGGCTGGTGTTTCCGTGGAAACGGGGGAATTATTTTGCATTGGCTGCTGCTCTGCCTTCTTTTCTTTTTCGTCCTCTTCCTCGTCATCGCCGATCATGAACTTGACAGGGACCAGGTCAGGCTTTTCCAGCTTGGGCATGGAAGGGCTGTACACTGGTGATTCATGACGACCCCCCAGGGGCAAGGGAGGGGAGGGCTGGGAGGGTGCCTCCGGGGGGAGGTGGTCCGGATCTGTGTCGGGGTCTGCGTTCATCAAGTCCCCATGGGGGACGGCGCCGCTGATGTCGTGCCTGGGGGGTTGGGCTGACGACTGGGGCTTTCCCTGAGGGGGCGGTGTGGTGGACTGCGCTTTGAGGGTGGGGGGTTCTGAGACAGTTCCATCCCGGGGGTGGGGCTTCGGCAGTCTGGGTTGGGCAGGCGTGGACTGGGGCTTCACAGGAGTGAGGGAGGGTGGTGTGGGCAGGCCAGCTGGCTTGGACTGGTGTGCGGGAACTTTGGGTTTCTGCTGCTGAAGTGAGGGCTTGGAGACATCATCTACGTGAATAGAGATGAATGGAACCGTAAACTGATCAGAAAACCAGTGCAGGAATGATTAAAGAATGTAAGTAAAATAAACTTCTGAATTCAATTTAATAGATAGATGATAAGAAACACAGACGTAGTTAAGTTCATCACAAGTCTAGTCACAGGACCATTTACAAGTGAGTTTGTTTTTCAGCAGCTGACTGGATGACTTGTGATGGACTCGCTGCAAGTTATGATGGACAAAACTACAGCGGTAGTCGAAAGACTTGGGGTGGTTATATTTACTCTTTTGAGTTGTAACTGCAGGATCCGGCGCTGGGGTTGACAGTAATTGCGACGGTGGCGAAGTCACAACCGGAGACATTTGCTGCACTGGCTGAAGTGGCGGGGGCGACTGGAGGGGCGGCTTGGCGTCCTGCTTTGCAGCTGCTGGTGGTGACAAGAGCGGCCGCTTACTCTGCAACTTGGCCGGCAGCGGGGCGGCCTTGCTGCTGGGCCGACTGGGCTGGGCCGGGAGGCTCAAGTGCGAGACAGGGGCCGGGGGCTTGGAGAGAGGTGTCTCCGGCTGGGGCGGGGGCTTGATGGCCTGAGCTGCAGCTGCCGCTGCTTGGGCAGCTGCGGCCTCGGCTGCTGCCTCGGCTGCTGCCTTTGCGGCAGCGGCTGCGGCTGCTGCAGCCGCTTTCGTCTTCACCGTTGGCTGACTCGTGGCCTTGCCAGATGGAACAGTAGCTTGAGCTGCCGACATTGACAGAAAGGAGAACATCAAGATATTAGCATGGACTGAGTTGGCATGCGCACAGTGGATATACGAGTCCAAGAGTCCTTTCATAAGACCTGCCACCACTAATGGTGACCAATTATAAAGGAATGCTTTTTTCCTAGTTAATTTGAATAACATATTTGGCTCACGACCAGACCACCCGAGAGAAAACTTGCAGGGACTTGCCAGGCATTGTGATAGAACTGGATCAGATTAAACTAAAACTTACTCCTAACCAATACCAGCCGGGGACTCCGAAATCGGAGCCGTATGGTTTATATGCGTGGCCGGGGTCTCCGAACTCGGACAAAAGAAACAGGGCCCTGTAACAAAAGACCATACTCCGAACAAAAGACCAGGCTGCTGGGCATTACCGGCATTTTTCACTCTCAAAAGTGGTGATAATGCAGCGTTATTTTGAAACCGTATACCAGGGTTTGGGGCATTGAGAGCAAGCGGATTACCACCGGGGACAAAAGCGCTCCACCACCGCAGCGATGAGCCACACAGCACCACTGCACGCTAATCTGGCCCCTATTGAAAAGAGGTCAG